AGGAATTTAATACTTAAATTCTAGGACAACTCAATCCTACTTCTCATCCACATTCATATGACATTTCATTAGCATTGGTTTGTGTATCCTGAAGAATTGAAAATTTCACTCATTCAAAATAGCTCAGCAATTTATATAATACAGCATAGTTTGCAATAGTACATAAGGCAGGGACTAACTGACGTAACATTGACGTGTACAAGCGTAAATATGATGTAATTCTGACGAATCATTTCATCTATCTATCTGATCCTCTTTATCAATGAATGATCAAACTATTCATTTAGTTTGACTTGACGTCAATGTACGTCAATCTGTGATATTAGTAACGAAAACAAATTTTACTACAAAAAACAAAAAAATTGTCAATGCCTACAAAATTATGCAAAAATTATTGATAATTTTAAAAGTGTCATAAATTTTCAAGCTTTTGTCATTATTGAACAATTACAAACACAAAAGACACCGCCACATATAATATATGTATATACGACAAATTAATTAACTATACAGTAATCGATATACAAATGTGATAAAGAATTTGAAATTAACAATGCAAATTAATGATATAAAAGGAAGGCAGGAAAATACGGAAATATTACGGACAAATGGAGCATATTTCTGATTTCATTTTGTAAGATTTCTTTTGATTTACCATTAAAGATCAATCCTAATATAGGAAGGAATTTTCTAGTTCCTGCTAAAAAATGGGAATACTCCGATCATTTCCAAACTTAGGAAGGAATATTCCGATCATTTCCAGAAATGGAAAGAATCGGAATATTTCGATTCTTTCAAACAACAGGAATATTTTGACATACCCATGCTAATAAGGATAAAATTTGAATATAAAAAGAGTACCATCCCTTTATTACCAACATAATTTTGAAATTATCCAATATGATAATTTTAAATTTTGGAATTTTGAAACTTTGAAAATTTTAAATTTTGAAATTATTATCATAATTTTGTAATTATCATCATATTGTATATAACGGTATCAAATAATTTATTTTAACACCAATATGGCCACCCACAAATATATATATATATATATATATAAGCGGATAACCAGACTCATTATATCAGTATAATTCCAACAAACATTTGTAATTAATGAAACAAAAACTTCTTCTTTTTTTATCTTAGTAGTTTAATTTAACACCGATTATTGGCATATTGTTATCAATTTAAGTAATTTTTAGTGATAATCGCCAAAGGAGACATAATATGAGAGAAATTATCAATTTAATGAAGGCTAAAGATAAGCGTAATTAATAATATTCTAAGATAAAATAATTCGTTGTCTCTTTAGAAGTGATCATAAAGAAATTGTAGAAATTTTTAACATATTTGATTAAATTTAAACAAAATGAGAAAAATATCCAAACCCGATATTGTGTACCAAAGGAAAAGAAAAAAGTCATTTATTAAATGCAAGGTAGAGTTGCTTAGTGATAATTACTTGTTTACTTATCCAATATTTCACACATAACGATGTTGATAATTAGCTTGAAGTTCCTTTTTTTTTTTTTTCTTCATACTAAATGAAAGTTTCGTTTGTCACAGTGAATGGATCAAAATCAGAAATCAGAAAACCAAACACAATCTATTTCCTCTTAATTAATTATTTAACTTAATTTGCTATTGATAATTACAAGCAACTCCTCTACAAATTATAAACCTTGCACAAAAATGGGTGGATTTTTAGATAAATCCATACGTAGCAGCATTCCCGATCTATTTGTCACCACTTCACCATGACATTGCAAGGTTGATGCGGAACTATCACTATAAGCCGAATCATCTGATATCCGAGCAGTTGAAGCAGCTGAGATTGGTGTAGATGAATGACGAGCAGCAAGAAGCGAAGTTGATGTAGGTTGTGGTGGAGGAGATGGTGGTGGTGGTGGTGGTGGAAAATTGGGTGGTGGCCTAAAATGAAGTGTTCCTAATTCAGGCCTAACAGTAGATGGTAGATTAGGATTGGGTACAAATGTTACAGGTGTTATACAACTGAAGTAGCATTGATTTTGTTGTGGTTGATGATAGTAATTGGATGATGGAGTACAGAGATCGTCGTAGCTAATTGTTGCATAATCGTATAATGCTAAAAAATCATAGATATAGAATATCATAATGTTAGTACATATAATATATGGTATTTAAATACTTTAAAAATTAATCAATAGTCCATATTTGAACATTATGTATCGTAGCATGAACCATTCTCCTTACTTATTCAATCCAAAATTTTAACGTTTTGCGTCTCCCACTTCCCTCCCCACTATTAGCATCAACTTAAGCTAGTAATCAAGTAGTAGTGCTATCAAGTAATGGTAGTAGAAGAAGTAGCAAATGTTAAGTATCAGTCTAATGTCTTGTCATGTATTTGTAAATGCACTGAAGGTTATGTATTACATTAAAATGTACCTGTAGCAATGAGATATGTAAATTAATAATCATTATCAATTAATAATCACTAGTAAATCTATTAGTAATCATTACAAATTATAGAATTAAAATTTGAAAAATGAGATATATGACAGATTAAAACATTATATGCTATGCTACTGATAAACATTAATGAGCAAATATGTTAACACATCAATTAAAATTCATTACTGCAATTATACACCTATACTATAATATAGCAATATTGATTAATCGAATAGATGTATATGACTAATAAAAATTGTAAACATAAGTTATAAAGGAAAATAAAGTTTATCTTTAAATAACACTAAATTTATAGTATCAATTAAACGTAACAAATTAAAAAAAAAAAAAAAAAGAGTAAAGAAATTTACCATTTGGATTACATTGTTGTCGTGCTAAAAGCATTTGTACCGAATTATTATATCGTGGATCAATAGCGGCAACCATACGTGGTACTGGTAATGATGGATATTTTTTCGCTCATTGAAGGATACTACAAAAAAAAAAAAAATGTAAGCAGATAAGTTACAATATTGAAATTTAAAAAAAAAGAAAAAAAAAAGTACCGTAATAAAAAAGAAAGTGGTATGAAACATGCAAATTTAAAAAAGATAATTATATTTTCTTACTTATTTGATCATTTCAGTAAATTTAAAATCGAATAAATTACTAAACCTTCCATTAAATTTTATGGGAATTTTTTTGTAAAAGAAAAAAAACATTATTTTAGGTAGAGGTAAAATAATAATTTTACAAAAATTAAACAGAAGAAAATTCTCAGCCATGCAAAGAAAAAGAGAATCGAAAAAATCTAATTAATTACGATAAGACTAATTAATTATGATAAGAATTAATTATGATTATCGAGAAAATCTAATTAATTATGATAAGACATCTGATAGTTTGTTATGTTAAAAATCAAATTTTCATTTATTCAGAAAGCACAATTATGAACCCATTCAAATACCGTAATATTCCACAGGAATCCATTCATCCTACAAATCAGGGTTGATTGTCCACCTACTAGAGTTCATTAATAAGTTATAGGTAAGAGGTATGATGTTATTATTCAAGTCTCTAGTCCCATAGGTGATCGTATTTTTGATGAACCATCATATAAAGCAACCATAATGCAAGCCCAAATTCGATAAATAGATAATATGAAAAAAAAAAAAGAAAAAGAAAACCTTTATTAATTAGGAAGCTTATATGAAAAGCCAATTAATTAATTGATCCCAAGAAAGCATAACTAGAAAAAAATTTACATATTTATAACATTATATCGGTAGCGCAATTGAAGAATATTAGTTCACGTGGCGGTGGATATTCCTTTGTATACTTCTAAAGTTTGAAAGTTTTGAAAAACTAAATTTACAATTCTCAAACTTACTTCCATTCAGTTGCAATTTTAGGTGGTAAATTTGATATAGGTGATACATAAGCATTTATGCAAAAGAAAAAAAAAGAAAATTGAAATGTTAATGAAAAAGGATAAGAATAATATTAGAAGTATGATTAACAAAAAAAAAAAAAAGGAAAAAAAGAAGAAAGAAACTATTAGAATTGATAGAAATATAATTATCACAGTAATACCTTATCATTTATTCATTTTAATTTTATGAATATAACCTTAGTTTAAATTGTAACAGTGGATGATCCATTGTATCAGCCTCGTTATCACTATGATAATGAATACATAATTGATAAAATTAATCCAACTATATAAGCATTTAAATATGTGTGTGTGTGTGTGTGTGTGTGTCACCACAACAATGGGTATTTCATGATTGATGCGATAAAAATTTCGAAATGTCATAACAGGACAAAACTAATTAACTGAATTTGTTTGGTAAACATTTCAAATGCTACAATGCAAAACAAAAATTCCAAATTTGCATACCAATTTTTCAATTAAAATACAATTTTAAAATTTCCTAAATTATTTTTAAATATTATTGTCGAAATGAATGTAAAAGAAAAGAAAGGAGAAATAGGAAAGATATGATAATAACGACTAATCAATGAGTGATAAAGAATTGACGAACCTCGCCCTACATAGATTATTTGTTCATCAATTAAATCAGCCTGTTGATTAGCCGACAATGGTGAATACTCATCGCTTTTGCCACCAAAATATTTGATAAATCTCTTCAAATTCAATGATAAAAATGATAAATGTAATCTAATACAAATGATAACGATATGATAAGATAATAAATAGATAAGATGCTTTTGTAATATGATACAAAAAGCAGAGGGAGAGAGAAAGAGAGAGAGAGAGAGAAAAAGAAAAAATGATCTAATGTATTATTGATAATTATTCATCAAAAAAAAAGGACAGTTTGAAAAAGAAAAAAAATGCAAAATAAAATAAAATTCGAAAAAAATGTTTAAAATTTTCTTTTTTTTCCAAAAATTTTAATGTTTTAAAAAGAAATAACTAATTTTTGTGTATTTTACATATTATTTTAGCAAATATTATGCAACCTAACACATCAACCACTTTCTACGAGAATTTTCACGTATAGCTTTAGGTTAGGATAAGATAAATGAGTAACGTTTAAATGCTCATATTTAAGTCTTAAAAAGTTAAAAATGAAAAATTAGCATAAGACTGATATGATAAGTATTATCTCGTTCATACCCTTCTCATATCATTTGCTGTCTTATCTTTACGTAAATTCCGCAACAAAAAATGCTATAGACGTGGGAGAATTCGGACGAATTCCGGATATATTACAAAGTAACGGAACCATTCATAAGATATAGATGAAATTTAAGTAAGCAATTTTACACTTACCAATAGCTCGGAAGCTGTTGATGAGCTAGAACTAACTGCTTGACCGGTTTTGCTTGTGTTACTTGTAGGTAAATATGGCATCATACGTGACGTATGACTTGAATCATCACGCATGCAATCCGGTATCCAAGATGCATGTTTTACCCATTTCCGGTAATCTTTATGTAACTGAAATAAAAATAGCTTATAAGCATACCATTGTTCATATAAAACTAGTAATTACAAATGCTTACCGAAGATCGAATAGAATGAAAATGAAATTTGAAATCAGAAATCGGAATTTGGCACTGTTTCAAGTTTGTGAATATATTTACAAACTTACCCGACAAATTCTTGATTTGAAAATTAGAGTCAAATTTTGCAAATTAACAGATTACTGTAACAGTATTTCAAACAGTAACATGTAGGAAAAACAGTACCAAATAAGTTACTGTTATAAAATAAATGAAAAATAAAAGAAATAAAAATAACAAACTCGATCATTAAAAGCGACATGAAATAGAAATATGAACAATCCTTGGAGAGAATTCATAATAGTAAATGCATAAGCCATAAGAATTGATTGCTCATCAATCCATAAAAAGCCAAAAGTCCAAGTAAGACCTAATATTGTAACCAATGCTATTGATCCTTTCAACCAATTCCTGAAATATTTCAGAATTAAACAAATCTTTGAAATGTAAAAAAATTAGAATATCCTAAAATTGATAGGAGAATTTGAAATAAAATCAATCATTCGGTAGCATACATAATTTTACTTATTAGTAAACTTTTAACAAGAAAGAAGAAACTGATAAATAACTCCTCCAATATAAGTTATAATCTAGCTAAAAATGTTAGCTAGACGTAAAGAGAAATTTACCTGTAAGCAATAATATGATACCTGTCAACAATGATTTATTTATTTATTTCCTAAATTAAATTCATACCGAACATTTTTCAATCCATCACGATCCTGTTTGCATGGTGTGTAACCGATACTGGAATGACTGCATACGATAAATAGTGTCATCACGAGGAAGACTGCATTACAAAACATGATAATAGCTACCGGTCCAACAAATGCTAGAATGAAGTGATTATCGGATCGTAGCCAACAGTATCGTTCTGTACCGTAGCTAAATCGATCAAACCATACTGATACAGCGACAACTAATAATGGGAATCCTGAAATAATGAAACATTGAAATGTTAAAATACATTTACGAATTAAAGCATAACCGGTCGTTAAAGATATAATAATTGATAGTGTATGATTAATAATAAAAGAATAATATGAAATAGTTGATACGGAAACTATCATTTCAAAAAATACCGAATGAATTGATTAGTAAATCATAGATTTTTTCCAAAAAAAAAAGAAAGAAATGAAAGATGGAATAGATGGATGCTAGAAGCTTACCGTAACCAAACAATAATACGAAAATTAAAGATGCAACTAGATGGATGTTAGAAGCTTACCGTAACCAAACAATAATATGTATGATTTTTTGGAATCTTTTGATTGGAATACCTCAACCAACATATAGTAAAGCTCGAAACCTTCTAATAACATCCAGGAAAATGCAGCAAGAAAGAAATAATGTAATATACCGGCTATAATACTGCAGCAAAACTGAAAATTAAAATAAACTTTGTACCAAATTTAATTGCAACAAGAAAATTATTGATAATTTTAATCAGTCATACGATAAGTTTTCATCCTGATGACAAAATATGATTGCAAATGATGTTAAATATAACTTAGTTAAAATGTTAAGAAGGCTAAAATTAATAATTGATAATAATATCCTAAACTTTCTCCATTGCTTTAATTAAATAAATATTAATTAAATGCTTAAAAAAGATTTTTTCCATTAATTTAATTCTTAAATAAATATTAATTTAATTCCTGCTTTAAATAAATAAATATCAATTTAATTTTTGATAGATACAATGAATTGATCAATCTTTGATTCTTTTATGAGATTATAAATTTATACTATGGTAAATATTACGATAATCTGAATGATGCAATGATATTTGTGATGCAAGTTAAGTGAAAAAAAAAAACTTATGTAATATAAAGTAAAATAAGAATGAAACTTTTACCGAATTTTTTGTCTGCCAAATACCACCAAGGAAGATAGCTTCAGCAATCAATAATGAGAAGCAAAGATTTTTATGAATAAAAATTCGATCACCACCAGTGGTACCAAAGCATTGAAATGCTATCAGTGATAATAAAAGACATATTATTGATATTGTACAACCAGCATAAGTTATAAATGTTAATGCTATATTATGTCCAATGGAAAGCTAAAATTATTAAAATTAAAATTTCAACATTTTAAAATACAATTTGAATTATTCCAAAAACTATAAAATAGCATAAAATCGACAATTAGCATGTATAATTCGAATGAAACAAACTATAAATGTATAATGAATAGATAAAACTGTCATTTCTATACTAATATTACCTGTCAATTGTCATGTAATATTTATGTAACCTTTAACTTATACAAAATATTCATTGAAAAACAATTTTGTTAAACTAATCATAGTTTCATTTACCTCTTGATAATGGACATCCATGAGGACAGCAAAATATGTCAAATGATTGCAATGACAAACTGTATGAGTTTTATTATGCAAATTGACCATACAACCATAAGATGACCATTGTAAACGAGTACGATTCCACCATACGCATTGTGGCATGGAAAGATTTACTCGATCCTGATATAGGTAAACATATGCATAAGAAATCATCTCTTATAGTTAATTAATTATAACAAATAATCATTCTTATCATAAAAGTCTTTTTTTTTATAATTATTTAATTATAATTAATGAAGAGTACGAAAAGTAGATGCATTTCTTTCTTTTTTTTGTCCAATTTATTGAATCATTTGAAACTAAAAGTCTAACTTTACTGATAACAAATTCGAAATAAGACTAAAGAATTTCTGAGATAATATTTTACAATAACTTCCTTTATTTCATTTAAAAATTACATACCAATTATTGTTGATTTCACTTTTAACCATAAAATTTATTTCAATTTAAAATTTAAAATATAAAAGTTAGCCATATTTTCTTGCTTACTTGATATTGGAAATCAATAATTTACATTCACCAACTCATTTTATCGTAGCCATTTTTTTTTCTATCATTTAATTAGTCAGTATTTGAGAAAAAAAAAAAACTAATTGATCTGAAATTGTAATCAAATATTTGATCTAAAATTAATAAATTACTAACCTCAGTTGAAAATGTTATAATAACTGGTGTACGAAGATGATCAATGGTTTCAATTTTATTATGGCTATTAATTACAGAGAGGGAAATTATTTTTGATGCAATCTGTCGTGGTACCATGATGCCATCCGTACCTTGGCGTGGTTCAGGTAGCAAATGTTGACCCATTGATGAATATGCCACATAAAGGATTTTAGCTTCATCTGTAATTTATTTTTTAATTACTAAAAAATTATTTTAGCAAATTTTCATTTGTAAACAAACAAATCGTTAAATTATTGAAATACCATTGGAATTAATCAGAAAATCTAAAATTTCTGAAATTTCAATTCATTTTAATCTTTTTCAATCAATATAGGATTGTATGAATGAATGCTTTGTAATTTTTCATCTCAACTAATTAGTAATTATGGTAACAAGTGGGAAGTGATAATTTGTTAACAAACTGATAGCATTATTGCGTAAAGTCAATGCCTCTCGTGGAATGTTAACCGTATCATCGGTTGTTCGATATAAGCTTGTACTTGGAAAAGCTATATAATCATGGATTCGAACAGCTGATATTTCAAGTTCAATATCTAAAAGATTCTATCGATATCTCGTGAATGGAATCAAAATTAGAATCATCATTCTTAATCATGAAAAATTATCAAAATATGAATTAAAATTACGATTTTGAATATAACTATAACTATGATATTATGATAATTAAGAATAGAAGTGAATTTTTTTTGTTTTTTTAAAATTTATATCAAGAACCAAAAGAGAGAGAGAGAGAAAAGAAATTTTTCAATGTCATAAAAATTCCATTAAACTCTCATGCGTTAAACAATTTAAGTTAATTAATTCATTGTTCCAATTATTTGATGTATCAAAAATGATAAAAATTTAATACAATCACTTCGTTATCAATTTTATCATTGATTATCTTAACGAATTT